CCTGAAATAGAAAAGTATTTGGTAAATCTTTCATATGGTAGGCAACAAAAGGGAAGTGACAATTTGCAAATTACCCCTAGAAAGGCTGAACTCATTTGTTTGACCCCAGATTTGAGGGATGTTAAGTTTTTTTAACAGGTCAAAAACAGAAAAACCCAGGGAATTCAATGTCCTAGCAAAAGTCTTCATAAGATGTAGGGCATGTACTATAATTCTTAAAACCAAGATTGAAGTCTCATTTGTTAAGGTAACTGGCCCCCAAGGCTGCTGGGTTTTTTACTCATAACTTAATCAACTCTCCCCAAAGCAGGCACCATGCTTTCAAGTGTGCCTCCGTAAATAGAACACACCAGTTTACTTCCATGTCTCTCTTCAAAAGGAATGCCTCTCACTCTCTAAGACTCACTTGGAGAGGGAATCCAGTGAAAGGTGCTGCCGATAAAAGTACAACAGGACTGGCTTTGTCAAAACCACTCCTAGCTACACTTTAGGCCCCAGGGAACATTTACTATTCTCAGAATAATGTTGTACCAAACACATCTTGCATTTTTATTAGGTTCTGGGATTAAATTTTAAACCTGTGTTCAGTTCACATCTAACTAAGTTTCAAAAGCTGCACCAAATCTTCTAAGCTTTTTTTTTTTTCATACTCTTCACTGCATGCTGTCTATATGCATGCACTTGAATAATAAATATTAAATATGGGGTGGACACACAGAATCCATAAAGTTAAAAATGAAACCAAACTGAACATTAAAAAATAGTACATGGTAGCTGGAGAAATGGATAAGGGCAAAAAGTAAATCTGAGGTAATAATAGTGGCCCAACACCACTGATCTGAAATATCTGTAAAAATTCAAATAAGCGTTTGGAGATTCAAGTAACAAACCATCTGCTCCAACTTGGTCAGACTTCCCAGAGTCCCTGCTGAGTTTCAGTCCATGAGGCGGCACTCACACAGCTCCTTGTAAATCCTCTTCCGTACTCGGGGCATGTCTTCTTGTGAAAACTGGAAAGGCTGCTCTAAGGCGAGGCACTTGCAGTACTGCAAAGGTCCCAGAAACACTTAAGTGGCATGTGGAGCTGTGTACAGGCCACTGCATTTTACCAGATGCAGACCTAATAGGGTCTAAGGCAGCATTTTAAAGTTTGTTTAAACTTGTTGTAAAAACATCGTTTTAAAACATTTACCTCCAAATTATAGTCAACTTTCCAAACAAGTATATGGCTTGGGGTCTCCCCTTCCTCTCAACCTAGTACTGTGAAAAGCAGCAACTGATAAAGAAGCTCCAGTTCCTCCCAAATTACAATATGCTGGAATACAGCTAGACCTAACTTGGCCTTTAAGTGGGAACGTGAATTTGTTTACAAACCCCAAACATTCATGAGGTATATGAATCAACCTGTCTTCCATCATTGCAAATCTCTAAATTCATGGATTATATAGTATAATTTCCTTCAGAAACGTATGTAAAACAAATTTTTCCATAGCCCTTTCAGACTTTTAAGGAGACCTACAGCATGAGATGGCAGTTTTTGAATGTGGTCCTTATTTCAAACCTAATTATTCTATGACAAAGACCTGCAGGTTGCTTGCCAATGATTTAAAAAAAAAAAAAAATCAACTGGCCCAATAGCTCACTTGGGAGAGTGTGGTGCTGTGCTGGTAATACCAAGGTCATGGGTTCAGATCCCCATAGTACTGGCCAGCCACCAAAAAAAAAACAACAACATTAATTCTGCAAATGCCAATGGTCTATGGTATGGGCAAATTCAAGTCAGTCTCTAGTATGGCTTACTAATAACTCCTGATGTGACAAGGATAATACCCACTGCTCATTTGTAGCCTTGGAAAGCAGTTCTTCCTTAATGATAACATCTGAAAATGTAGAAACTACTGCTTCTCAGCAATAAAGGGAGGGAGGGAAAGTACTGTTGGCTGAATCTAGTATCACGTATACATACAGGGACTGCCACCTCTCCTCCCTAAACCCAACAAATTCAATTCACACATTGTAAATTCTGAAAAAACAGGATTTCTTTACCTGGAGCACAAAGACTCCACAGTCACTGTCATTTTTCTGTTGTGGAATACACTGAGGGAAAAAACAAAGTGGTCATTAAAATAAAATCAAGAACTCCTCTCCAGATAAGTAAAATTCTTTTATGAAAAAAATGAACAAGAGCTAGGAAATGTCTCTCAGTCCAGGACAGCTGGAGTATACCTCTGGTATCTTAAGTGTCTGAAGTGTTTATGATATTGAATGTTGTACCCCACAGGAATGTACAATCAACTAAATCCCAATAAAATAAAGTGTTTACAGAGGCATCTGGCCACATGAAAAGACAAAAAAAGGCTATCAAGTGGCAACCACAATATATAGAACAACATTTTGTCTAAATACGAGAAATGGAAAATCAAATTTAAAACCTATTTTAATCATATCCATTTGGATAACCAGTTTTGCTATCAATTTACTGACAATGAAATCAAAACGGAACTGTGGACCACATACCCCTGGCCTCTGAATACGTAGATGGTAATAACTCTGCTTAGCAGTCTTCACTTTACATCTCATATTATACAACTCTGTCCTATCTTTGAAAGAAATCATGAAGGTAAACAGTTTATTTTCAAAAGAACTGTTTACTGTATTCTGCCTAAAGTGGGGATATGAAAGGTCCAGACTAAATTTAGAATACCTAGATATTCTAGTTGGGTAAAAGTCAGAAAATTTACAAGTTCAGTTCTGATTTGAACTGTTATACAAGGTTATTTAAAACACAAAACTTATGGGCCGGCCTGGTGGCGCACTGCTACAGTGCGCCGCTTGGGAAGCGCGGCGGCGCTCCC